TGACCCAGCAATGGGTATATACCCAAAGGATTATAAATCATGCTGCTATAAAGACACATGCTCACGTATGTTTATTGCGGCACTATTCACAATAGTAAAGACTTGGAACCAATCCAAATGTCCATTAATGATAGACTGGATTAAGAAAATGTGTCACATATACACCATGGAATACTATGCAGCCATAAAAGAGATTGAGTTGAAGTCCTTTGTAGAGACATGGATGAAGCTGGAAACCATCATTCTGAGCAAACTATCACAAGTTTGTTCTCACTCATAGGTGGGAATTGAACAATGAGATCACCGCATGTTCTCACTCATAGGTGGGAATTGAACAATGAGATCACTTGGACACAGGGTGGGGAACATCACACACCAGGGCCTGCTGTGGGGTGGGGGGAGCGGGGAGGGATAGCATTAGGAGATATACCTAATGTAAATGACGAGTTAATGGGTGCAGCACACCAACATGGCACATGTATACATATGTAACAAACCTGCACGTTGTGCACATGCACCCTAGAACTTAAATCTCAAAAATAAATAAATAAAGTAAATAAAATTAAAAAATAAAGGGATGGAAAAAGACATTCCAGGCAAATGGAAACCAAAAGAACAGAAGTAGCTATACTTGTATCAGATAAAACAGATTTCAAGATAAAAACCATAAAAAAAGACAAAGAATGTCATTAGATAATGATAAGGGTGTCAATTCAGCAAGAAGATATAACAATTATAAATACACACGTGCCCAACACTGGAGCACCCAGATATATAAAGTAAACATTATTGGAGCTAAAGAGAGATGGACTCCAGTACAATAACTGCTGGAAACCTCAACATCTCACTTTCAGCACTGGACAGATCTTCCAGACATAAAACTAAGAAACATTTGACTTAATCTCCACTATAGACTAAATGGACCAAACAGATACTTACAGAATATTTCATCTAACGGCTGCAGAATATACACATTCTTCTCCTCAGCACATATAACATCCTCAAGAACACAGCATCTATTAGGCCACAAAAAAAGTCTTAAAATTTTTTTTAAAAAATTGAAAGTACGTCAAATAGGTCTCTGACTACAATGTGATAAAAAAGAAATCAGTTTTAGTTATGAAGTCCTTGGCCATGCCTATGTCCTGAATGGTATTATAATAATGAGTATTGAGTTGATAACGTCCTTTGTAACGACATGGATGAAGCTAGGAAACCATCATTCTGAGCAAACCTATCACTAATTTTGGTTCTCACTTCATAGTGGGAATGAAACTAATGATGATCACCGCATTTTCTCACTTTCATCAGTGGAATTGAACAATGAGATCACTTGACACTCAGTGGTGGGAACACCACACACCAAGTTGGCAGTGCGTGTGGGGTGGGGTGAACGGGACGTTCAATATCATGATGGTGGTCAGCACACATGGTGTTATCTTGGTGGTCCTATAGTTAATACATTAATATTCATAAAACATACCAGAAAACAAATCAGTAACAAGAGGAATTGGCGATCATTCACAACCGCGAATCACAGATATATGTTAAATGACAGCAGGTAATGGAGACACACATTAAAGAACTTTCACACACATTTCAGAGGGTTTTATTGTTGCGAGGCGTGGATATAACGGTCAGGAGTTCAAGACACAGCTGCAAAATAGCGAACACAACCCCGTTCTAACTTCAACTTTAGTGCGGCTGTCGTCCACAGTTTGGAGCTGAGTTGGAGATACCGC